TCAGTTTTCTCCAACTCTGCCCACATTCCCAATTAATATATCTCTTAATATCCTTCCTCTGTCTGTTTTAAAATGTTTTAGTTAAATGGCCTGAACTTAAGAAATTGTGTTATTTTCTTGCTCTCATTGATATTTCTACCTCTGTTAATTTTTTGCAGTTCTTATTTAAAAATAAAAAAAATCAATGATACTGTATTTTCTTTCCAGATTAAAGATGGCTGAATACCTTTCTTACTACAACTTCCTACAGTACCTTTTTGTCTAGAATTTAGGATGTGAGTGCTGATACAGTGAGCCATATCTTGGCTACTTCTTAGTCTCTAAGATTTATATCCCAGTGTAAATGTCCTCAGCTTGACCTAACAGTTTCTCACTTAAATATGACTTTTGGTAGGTCAGGCACTGTTGTAGACCTGTGATTCACAATGTTTCCTGTCTCAGTCCATGAAATTCCAATTTGACAGTCTTTGAGGCATGATGCGAAGCTCATCTCTCCTCAGATTTTAGGTGAACACTGATTTAGCACACAGAATACACCAAAGACAGTAGTAAAGATAGTTCTGGTGATTACAATTTTCTTTTCCTGTCTGGTTTTGTATACCAGCTTATTCTGAACAAAAATTTTTATCTCAACTTTTGATGGTGTAAATTCAGCCAGTCACAAATGATTTTTCAAATACCTTGTTTGACAATAGTTTCCATTTTATTCTTTATTTTTGACAACTACTGCAGTTAATGAAATTCTTTTTAATTGTTTTTCAAGACTTAATTTACATTGTAAAGATATTCAAGACACATTCAGGAAAGTGAAATAAGGTACTGCATTAAGTCTGAAATTTGAAGATGGTTTAAATCTTTATAACTGTTACTTATATTTACCAATCGCTCACAGGACCAACACAGAGTAACTGCCAGGGCTAGCATTCTAATTGGTATCTTTTACTGGCAAAATATGAATACACCAGAAGACTGCGATGTTATAATATATCTCCAATAAAAGACTTCAGGAAGTGGAAGCCTTCATTGCCTCTACCTGTGAACAACAATATACAGCTTTCCTTCCTGGTAACTTAAAGTTGCATAAGGACTTTCAGATAATCACAAGTCTAGTGTAGCTTACTCCTGACTGCATAACAGTATAAAAGTTTTGCTGATATTAAATTCTTGAAATTCTGCCTGTTAGAATATGCATGCAGAAATTATTTTTTAAAAATGCAACAGGTCAGAGTAAATTTAATCTAGAGGTGCACAAAGCCATTCCTGAAATTATGTAATAGTTATGTATCAAGGAGGAAGCTATGTGCATCAACATTAGAAGGAGCTAAATTCATACTTCATGAAAGGGGTGTGTGACCTTTTCTAAACACTTAGCCAGAGGCTTATGTTTCAGAAGCAATGTACAAAAAACCTGAGGAATCCTTACCATGCCAAATTTATTTTTATGTTTATTTGTAAACAGAAACCCCATACTTGGCTAGGTAGGCTTTCCTAAAATCCACTGCATTGGTCAGGTTTTCCTATATTACCAAGGCTTTTTGCTTTTAAATTTGAAGAGTATTTCACAAGTCTGTTCTGATAGATTAAATTGTTATTTGTCCAACAGTACTCTTGAAATACGTATTTTCAATTAAAGGTGATTTGAAAGGCCAAAATTCTGTAATGCTCAACCAGCTTTTACTTAGCAACACAAGCAGCTGAGAAAAAGGGAAAACATTAATTGAAGAAATATTTAGATACAAATTACAACTGATTTCTAAATAAAACTTGATTATACAAAATGTATCCATTATGCTGAATATAATGTTTTCAGAAGCAGGCAATAAAATTATTAAAGATATTCTGAGATTTTTAAGTGACTAATGAAAGCAAGTATTAATGATGCTATCATACAGAAAGGTAAATGACATTTTAAGAAAATTCATAGTCATTGCAATTACTATTTTTCCTCCCAGGTCTAGTTATATTGATATCAAAGTACCCTCTTCCATGGCAGCCTTTAAATGCAGCAACTACAGGTACAATAGATGTAGAAGAAGTTCAGAGGAGTGAAAAAAGGACCAACAAACACATTCTCCCTTCAGAGAAAGTGATCAATACTGAAGCTAAGAACAGGCCTTTCTAAATTTGTGTTCTGGAGAATTTATTTATATCTGGACTAAAAATATAAGATATATATACTATGTAGTGTAGGAATTCTACAGACCTTACAGAATAGAAATGTAAATTTCTTATAGAAGAGTTTAAGAAAGAAATTGTTCATATATATGGGTGTGTGTGTGTGTGTGTATATATATATATACGTACATATACACAGTAACTTGATTATCCTGCCTTGCAAATAGTTAAAAAGCAGCAAAGTATAATTAGACTCTCCTATGTTATTTGCTTTATAACCACATATGATGTTTTATAGAAATATAAATGAGTACTAATTGCAATAATGTGATGAATCTGATATATTCAGAATGACTGATAACAAAAATTATGTCAGAGACCAATAGGATCATTTCAAATTGAACTAGAAAAAGAATATGTTAAGTAATTCCTTTCTCAGAAAGGGAAATACTTTCTCCAGCTATGGGAAGAAATAAATAAATTAAGATAAATATTTAAATAAATAAATAGCTACTGAAGGAGAATAAACAGTTTAATTGTTTGATAATACTGAAAGAGGTACCAGAGTATTCAGAACAATTTAGAATATTCAACAATTTAGAAGTTTATGAAGAATCTAGAAATATGAAAATAAAAAGAGTCTAGAAATATGCAAATCAACTTAGACATAGAGTGCAATAAACACTAGATAAACAGAAGGAGTAAATTTTAACTGTGATTTCACTTCATATCACAATTAAAGACTTACTTGGTGTTTTTAATTAAAATATGAGTAAAGCACAGCATTCTAGAGGTTTCTATGTTCATATTCTCTGTGTCCAAACTTGTAACACTTGAGGCTTTATATGAAATAATTTTTGATTTAAGATATTAAATCCAAATTTCAAATTTGCAGATGGTTTCCTTAGTAGACTTTCTAAATGGAATTTGCCATAAAACTGTAACTTTTCATGTCCCTACTAACACAGTCTACATACACACATACCTGTATGGAATTTTGCCATTTTGGAACTCCATCCATTGTAAACAGGAAAAGTTCAGCATAGATTTTTTTATGAGTTAGAAAATTCCTAAGAGATCTACATTGTTCCCTGTGTTTACTTCTAAACAAAGACATATTTAAACACTTAAAAGAGTGAATTGGCATTAACAGGAGACAATCAAGTGGGTAATCAAAAGAGATTCACAGAATCACAGAATCACAGAATGGTTTGGGTTGGAAGGGACCTTAAAGATCAACCAGTTCCAACCCCCCTGCCATGGGCAGGGACACCTTCCACTCGACCAGGTTGCTCCAAGCCTCATCCAGCCTGGCCTTGAACACTTCCAGGGATGGGGCACCCACAGCTTCTCTGGGCAACCTGTTCTGG